ATTCATGTTGTGTCGCATACATCGCATATCAAGTTGGAGTTGATGCTTGTTAAGTTGGCATGGATTGGAAAATATAAAGTTGAAGGATTATGCCTCGTTGATGCCTCTATTTATTGACAGATTATTAAGTTGGGAGTTTTGCTCCATTGGTACCACATGCATGTGCATAAAAATCAAGTCGCATTTCATGTTGCATCCTGAGTTGTTGTATGGAAGAATTAGTTGTGTTGAATATTGTTAAAAAGTTGTGAAGTGGTGATTCTTATATGAACTGATTCTAATCTATTATTCAACATACATTCTATTATATTGTTTGATATCTCACCTCTTATGTTTGAATGTTACCCCTATGTTGGTAACGTGCATGTAATCCAGAGTGAAGGTTGTTTACCTTCAATAGTTTGAGTCAGTGTCGTCGCTTTGATACGTAACACTCAGGGGGATGAACGCTTGTTGCTTTATTGTTGATTTTACTTTTGTTGCTGAATTTTAAGTTGATTTCATTAAGTACTTTGTTGTTTCTAAATTTGTTTTTATTTGGACAAAGATGTTATGTCATTTGAGTTGAAAATTGTGATTTCGCTGCTTAAGTAATAAAGTTGTTTCATTTTAAAGACTAAAATTGTTGTTATTTGTTCATCTGATGATTTAAGTGTTATGTATCTATTTTATATGCGATTAAATGTCGTTGTTATAAGTTAAAAGTGTAGCATCCTATTTATATATCGAAATTTTATAACTCTGATTTTATTAATATTCTCCGGGTAGAAATGGGGTATTACACCCAACCTGGATGGACTGCCCCGAATTGCCAGGAGGATATTGATGCGGTCTTTTCGGGACCAAGAGGACTCTGTGATATTCAGGGGTGTTGAGAGTCAACCCTACGATGAGGATGTTCGCGATGTCCTTCTATCCGTCGTGGGCCCTCCCCACCAGCTGTGAGGTCGTTTGGGAGGGCTTTACTTGGTCGATGAGAAGAGTGGAGGATGCTCGCGAGGTCCTCCTGACCGGCGACGAGCCTCCTTGCAATTCTTGGATTTATCCCCGTATGGCGAAACTGCATTTTCCAGAAGGGTGAGGTTGCTGCCCAACATAGTCGAGGGCAGGCTCAGGCAGCAGGCCTCCTTGAGCAGCATAGTTGGATTGAGCCTCGTATGAAGTTGGGCCAAGTGCAAACCCAGTCCAGAACAAATATTTTAAAATAATAAGTAATTTGAATAAAAAACAGGCAAATTAGATATCCATATCAATAATTTGATAAAATTTATAAAATTTTAAATTTATTTTAAAATAATTATTACAAAATAATAATATAACATGACATCGCAATAATTCAAGTGATCTCATAGAAAGATTTTCAAAAAACTTGAATTTTTATAGTTTCTATTATGTTTAATTGCCGAGAGCTATTAGAGTCATTGAAGTGGCTCAACAAAATTATTGACATTATTTGTGGCTTGAAATCGATTCATCTCTAATAGTCAAAGCTTTTCAACAATCAAACCTCTATTCCCTAGTCTCTTAGAAATAAATGACATAATTGTCATGCTTATACTAAATAGATATTCCTCGGTCTCTTAGAAATAGATGGTATGATTGTCATGCTTATACTAAATAGATAATTATTATTTTGATTTCTCACGTGTGTGTATAGGGAGGCTAATTCATGTGCCGACTTGTTGATTAATGAAAATCTTATGGTAAATAATTATCAATCCTTCGTTAATATTTCACAGAGAATTTTACCTAACATCATTTTCAACAAGTTAGGTCGACCTAACTTGTGACTTACATATTTTTGAAAATGAGGGTTTTGATCTAATTCCTTTTAATTAAATTTTATGGATACCATAGTGTTCATAAAAAAACTATGAGTATCATATTTGTTCTTAAATATATTGCTCTGTTGAGAAAAAAATTATGAGACTCTCCAAATATTTAATTGCATTTATTATAATTTTATTAATGTAATAATTATATTGATTTTACATTATTTTTTATCATCAAAGATAAATATCATAATAAAATAAAATTTATTCTTTTTCTTACACGAAATATTTATGATATAATATTATATATTAATAAATTGAATTATTACTTTTAATATTTTAAATTTTGTCAAATAAATGTTAATATTTAAGACATATATTAATGATGATATTAGGCCGAATTCGAGTCGATTTTCATGTGAGTGTAATTGTTTATACGGGTATAATATGATACCTTTATATCTATATTTATATTCGTTATTCATATTTTTAATAAAGATAAATTGATCAATTATAGATTTTCATATTATTTTGAAATTTAATGATATTTAAAAAGTTCAAAAATTTATTATTAAATTATAAAATAAGTAAATACATATATTAAAATGAGTTTAATTATTATATATTATTGAGGGTAAATTTGTTTACACCATCAATACATCATAATAATTTAAATGCATTACTTTAAAAGAAATTAAAATAAAAATCAAATTTTTTAAAGAAATTAACGATTGTGATTAAATAATAATGTAAAATATATTTACTTCCTTGGTGCATTTTAATTAAATTCTATTAAAATATATAATAGTTTAATAATAATATATATTTTTTAATAATATCAGTAAATTTATTGACTATATATTATATTTGTAGATTCTTACAACTATAAAAAAATAATAATATATTTTAAAAAATTAATAAGTATATATTTTTATATGATAATATAAATATTAATTTACAAATATACATTATGCAGATATAAGCTAGTGATGTATATTAAAGGAGAACAAATTGTCTTCCATGAAAAGTTACTTCAATGAATTCCAGACCATCTAATTTTTGTATAATATATTAATTAAATTATGAAATTGAATAGTTGAGATTAGTGCTGGACAAGCCCATTCTAAAGTATATATTTTTACGCAAAATCTCTTATTTTAGTTTATAATTACATGTACAATATTTGTATTTATTTTGTGAGTATTTTTTTTGGATATTTATTGAATATGAGCAAATTATCACCTCCAATCGATAAAATTGATATATTTATAATTCAGCTTTCTTTAATCTATTTTTTTGGGAATTGATATATTTTAATAAATTTGTATTGAAAATTATATATTCAACTTTTTTTAAATTTTTTTTGTGTCATTATAAAAGACGTTACATGATTTTAATTTATTTAAATAGAACTTAAACTATTTTTGACTAATTATAATTATAGTCATATTTTATTACTAAAAAAATAATATTTAAATTTTCTTTAAAATATATTTTAATCAGTTTTTACAAGAACAATGGGACTTGTGCGGTCAAAAAAAAAATTGTAGAGAAAAAGTTTAGATTCAAATCATTGATGAAAAAAAGGAAAGGCGGGAGTCGACCCTAATCCCGAAACTTAAATTAAAATCGAGGGCCCACTTAGGCCAGTCTCACTGGCATTCAACACTTTCCACCTTTTTCTCATTTCATTTCTTTGCAGAAAACCAGCGAAACTTCTTCTCTCACTTTTTCTTCATCCTTCATTCACCTCTCTACAGATCAGGTATCAATTCTTCATATTCTCTCTAATCTTTTCGTTTCAATTCATTTACGCTTGCTCGCTTTTCTGATTTTCTTCTCGCATTTCAGTTTCAAATTCTTGAAATTCATTTTTCGTAGTTAATCGTTCATCGGATTATCATCATTTAATTCTCGATTCTAGTTAATCTACAATTTACTGTTCTTTAGTTCCGTAAGTTTAAGATCTTAAACCTAGAGTAGAATAGTTACTACATGAATGATTAATTTTGGCATTATATGATGAATTTTCGTTAACCTTAGGAGATTAATGCGTAGTTCCGTCGTGTTTGGAGTAATAAGCGTTGATTCTGGAGGTTTACAATTTATTTTGACATTTTTAATTGTTTTCGAGTAAAATTGATTATAAGTGTGTGTTTGGTTCTGTGGTGACGAGAATTGAGTATATGTGAATAGATTTTGTAAAATTGATTACGGTTAAAATTGAGTTGAATGTAAAGTGATTTATATTGGAATACATTTATGTAAAAGTGAGGTGAAAAATAAATTTCAGTGTAATAATCACGTTTAAAATCAAAAGCTACAAATTCTAGCTTCAAGTAGAATCAATTTTGGAGGCAGAATTAATTTTACTTTAGAAGAACCAATTACCTCAATCATTTCAAAATCAGTTTTACACCGCTAGAATTGCTTTTGAAAGTATGATTTATAGATTTTGAGTCTAAGTGTGGTTTTTACATTAAAAATTGTTGTTCAACTCAATTATAGGTAGATGTATCTGAATTTACGAAATGGGGAAATAGTCTTGAAATTGAAGACCTGCATTCTAGGGACTGTTTTTTCATTTCATAAATTTGAGAGACAATTTACTTAACCTCTTTAATCTCGAGGATTAAACTGATGATTTAGTCAACGTGAATACGGGTATTCAGAAATCAGAATACCTATGTCAGTTGCGATTGCAGAATAAATGTTTTCTAAGTCGGAACCATTTTTTGCTTGCTCAAATGAGTTGTGACGTGTCTTTTATGCTTATTTGTTTGATCAAGAGATGCAATCTTGTAAGGAGGCGTAATTTTATACAACTTAATTAAAATGTCATCTGTTTAAATGGAGTAAATAAGTACTTTGGAGATACAAATTTGTGCGTTTTTAGAGTCTGCAAGATTTAAAATGTCAGATATTTTACTTTTGCTATATCTATTTTGATTGTAGGATTTTTAAACTGTTTTATTTAATGACACTATTTTAGATTTTCATTGTATCTTGGTAAATAATGAAAGGCATGACCCTGATAGTCACTGTCTCACTGAATGGTTTTGCGATCCAGTTTTTTGTTCTTGTTACTTCTATTCATTTCAGTTGAATGAATCTTTCTTTGCTGATTGTTTGATTGTTGAATGGAAAAGTTGTTCAGTTTTAGATTTTACTTATTTATTCTCTAATGCTGAGTACTTATCAAAGACTTTTTTAACCTCAGAATCTCAGATGGAGGGCTCTGGCGATTTTGGTGAAGGTCTTGACCAAGAGAGATCAATGGTGACTCCGTATTACACTCCATATTTGAAGAAGGTAAAGCCGGATTCTAGTCTTCAATCTGTCAATTTGGATTTCTCTCCTAGCTCGGGTGGGGTTAGCTCTGACATTTCTGTGAAGGAAGGCTCTGGATCACCTTCCTCGCCCTCTTTGGATTCAGAACCTGAATCTTTTACCCAGTCTGTAATCCGTAACCAGGGCACGCCGGTGAATACCGATGATGAAGAAACCCTGGAAGGTAAGCTGAAAGAAGACATTCCTGATATGGAAAGACCGAGCCAGTTTCTTGGGGACGGAGAAAATAGAAGTTATGATGAGTTGCTCAAGAAGTTTATAAAAAATGAGGAAGAGCTAGGAGTTGCCAATGTAAAACTTCAGCTCTCAGAAGAAGAGATTATCAAGTTGAAGAATCAAATTGAGAAAAGCGAGGATCAACTTGATAATGTGTTGAAAGAAATAGAACTGAATAAGGATGAACTAGAATATAAAAAGGGACAGGTACAAGAGTTGCAAAATCAAACAGCTGAGTTGGAGACTCAAGTTCATGATTATTGCTTTAAGATTGCAAATTTGGAGGAACAGCTGGAGATAGCTAATGAACACCTCAAGATGTCAAATGATGATATTGCAAGATTAAGAAAGGAACTCGAGAATAGGTCATTTGAGACTCATCAGTTGCAAGGGCAGCTTGAAGTGGCACATGAAAATGTGGCTAAATTAGAATGGCAACTTGATTCAGGGAAAAAGCAGATCCGAGAGTTAGAAGATGAGATTACATGCTTCAAAGCTAATGAAACTAACCATCAACATGAGATACAAAGAATGAAGGAGGAAATGCTTGAGATGCAGGCACAATTCTCTTTGGAGAAAGATCAATTGCATTCTGATGTTACAAGCTTGTCAGAACTGAAAATGGATTTGACCTCTAGACTGGAGGAATGGGAGTGTAGAGGCAATTTATTTGAAAATAAGTTGAGACAATGTGAAGCTGAAAATTTGGAGCAAAAGGAGCTGTATGCTGCACAACTATTGGTTATAAAAAGTGAAATAAGTTCTTTAAAGGAAGAACTTCGTCAGAGAAGAGATGACGTGGAGGCTGTGAATAAGGAGTTTGACAGGCATAAACAAAAATTTGACATGCTCATGACGGAAAGAGACGAAGCCAATGCTAAGATTGATAAACTTAAGGCTGAGATAAGCTTCCGAGACGATCAAATAGAAAATATGAAAAGAGAGCTTTTCCAGCTAAGCACACAGCAGCTTGAGCTGACCTTAGAATCTGAAATGAGAATGACTTTAATAGATGAGCTGAAACTGAAAGTGGAGAGTCAGAATGCTGTGATCTCTGATCGGAATGAGGAGAAGAGGGAGGCACTGACTTTAGTAGGTGAGTTGAAACTGAAATTGGAGAGACAGAATGTTGAGATCTCCGATAGGAATGAGGAGAAGAGGGAGGCAATCCGGCAACTGTGCTTCTCGCTTGAATACTATAAGAGTAGATATGAAGAACTTCTTCAAGCTTTTACTGGTCATAGACGCCATACCGTCATAGCCTCCTAAAGTTACATTGAGCAATCCTAAAGTTATATTCAGTAGTAGTCTCATCATTTGATATTGTTCTGTAGATCTTTGTGGATTATCAGTTTTCCATGTCCTTTTCTTATTTGTGTTGTGCAGCCAAACAAAATATACTTGATGGGTTGTGTACTATTTCTTTCTTCTTTGGGTGCATAGAGTTGTGGAAGAATTCTACTGTTGAATCCAAATTATATAGCTTTTGTTTCTAATCATCACGATGCATTAGATACATTTTGTATGGATGTTATGACCAGAAGCTATTGAAATTGGTATTTTGACCATGATAAACTAGCAATAGTAAGTTCTAGGTTTCTTGCATTGCAGAGATATTTCAATCTTGCAGAGAGGGTGCCATAATAAATGTACTTTTAAGGATGCTCATTTATCTTATTTGATAAGACTATTTTGAAATTTGTATTGGACATAGTGGGCAAATGCGGCTGCAATTGCGATTGTGAAGCCTTTGCAAGACCTCTAAAACATTTACTCTGAAACTTTGATTTTAAACTTTGATGTAGAGTTCTAAACTGTTATGACCAGAAGCTAGTGAAATTCTACTGATGAAAGTGGGAAAAAAAAAGTCATTGAATCAGGAACACGGTTGCATGTCTGGTTTCTCAAGTTCTTTTTAATGAACAAGTTCGATTACAAAAGACTTCAGAATGGTGAGCTTTTCTTACTAACTTTGATTTGTAGACTTTTACTTACATTCCTTATTGGTTAATCATATTCTCTATGTCAAACTTGAATATTATAGGGTGGCACCTAATTGTATCCTTAAGAATATTAAAATACTCGCATTTTCAATCATACTATGTGTAAGCCTGAAACTTTTTAACATGACTTAAATGGAAAAACCACCTCCAAACAAGAGAATGAGATAGATGCAAGTGATGATGATGGACTACCTCCATTGGAAGCAAATACTGATAGGATAAGACCAGTTGAGTTGCAAATTGATGAAGATTTAGAATCTAATTCAGATACAGATGATTATATAGTTCACTCCCATTGTTCAGCTGACAAAATATAAATAATGCATGCTTCCTATCTTTCAGGCTGATTTTCTTGAGTATTTACATCATTACATATTTGAACTAAGACTAAACAAAAAGAGATGAGTTTTTGCATTAACTTGTCAAACTATGTACATTTTTTTGTAAAATATTCAAATTAGACTTTATTTTTAAAATGATAATAAAAAAATTATCTTTCATCCTAATTTTAAATCCTTCTAATAGGAATAGTTTATAAAATGAGAATTCTTTCTATTAGTTTTAATTTTTACGTACTTCTTGGAACCTTGTCCTAAATGGAAAAGAAATTTTGTATTTTATATTGAAAAAGGTAAAGCAAGAAACATTTAAAATTATGAAATATTCACCGCTTGATTTTGCTTTAACTATTCACCACTTAATCAGGCTAAAAAAAACAGAAGTTTTTGGTTTTTTTGTTCGTAATTCTTTTTGTTAAGCTTCCATCATCACTATTTTTATCATTACTCACTACACGTATATACTAATTTAAGCGTAGTAATTAAATTAATAAGATATTAAAAAATCATAAAATATTAAGAGGAGCTTTTTATATTTGATTAAATCAATTCCACTATCTTCTTTAGTAATGAGCAACTCTATATTTGTTTACGAGAAATGTTAAAAATGTGTTAAATGTAATTTTTAAGATGTAATAGTATATCATTAAAATTCATGTAAATATATGAAATGAAAAAATAGGAGAGACAGAGACATTGATATACAATTGAAATAACACTCCTCTTTATTTATAATGATTGAATCAATACAAAAATCAGATTCAGATGAACCGGTAGTAATAAATGTGTCTAATAAATCACATAGACTTGTATGCTCTTTTAACGGGAAAGATGAAAAAAAGTTTTGGTCTGAATTAGAAAATCTCTTAAATTATAGAAAAAGAGGTCAAATTTATCTTCTTGGCGATTTCAATGCGGTTTGAAACTAAAATGAAAGAAAAAAAATTGAATCCTTTCCAAGACTTAAAGAAATCGAAGACTTTAATAGGATGATTTCCTCCCTCGACCTCATTGTCATATCCCATTTTTGTCACATAATTTTATTTTTGAAAAGTCAACCATTTTGATCTTATTTTTTAAAATCAATTTTCATCTTGCATCATTTTCATTTATTTACATTCCATTTAAAAAATGTCAAGAAAAATAAAAAAAAGTCAAAAAATCAACTTTTTATTTTGGTCAAAAGTCAGTGGTCAATTCAATTTTAATTGAAAATGTTTCATTTTTTGTAAAAAATTTTAAATTCAAATTCATGTTTCTTAAGCCAATTTTAATTCAAATGTGAGCCAAGTTTGAGGTCCATTTGTGAGCCAAGTGTCAAGCCAAATTCAAACTTTTATTTAACTAGTTTCAAGCCATGATTTTCAAGCCTAATTCATGAGCCAATTGAAGTTATTTGAGCCATCAAACCATTTAAGCCAATTCACTCTTGTTTTGCATTCTCAATAAGAATAAACAACCAAATTCGTTCAATTTTCACAAACAGATTACATCCAAATTCAAATACATCTCAATACAATTTCAGTTGAATTTACAAACAAGCATAATTCTTAACATTTACATTACAATTCCATCCTCACCTTACATGAAAACTCATCTAGGGTCCAAAATTATTCTTCAAATTGGTCACAAATCACATAATTCTCTAACAAAAATTCTAACAGAAATTCCATCCAATTCCCTACCCAATCATTCTCATATAAAATCACCTAAAAAACCGAGCAGTAGGGGGAAGAAGAGACTACACAAAACTCTGCCCACATCCACCATCAACCTGCAAGCAGAAACAAGCTGAGCATCACACACTTTGCAATTCTAATTTTCATTTTTATGCTCACCCAAACTCATGAGAGGTTCAATTCATGAACTCTGTTCATTTTTATGCTTTATTCCTCTTTGCGTGCTTACTTGTGTGGCTATTAGTGCTTGATCCATTGATTGTGTGGCTACTTATTTAGACAATATTGATTGTTAAGCAAGATAAAAATGAATGTGCGATAAAATCAATCTTTCAAGACAATTTTCAAACGCTTTCTCAACATCAAGTCGCCTTTTTCACTTTTCATTCAAACTAATTTCCCAATTCAATTCAGTAAACCTTTGGTAAACACTAAGTCTTTTAAAAAAAAAACATTTTCTCAATAAATGGAAATGAAAAGAGAGTTATTGGATGTATGCCCCTTTCATTTCTGGATATTCAAACATTGTTGTAGAGCTCACTGTTTAGATATTCGTCTTTCTAACTAAAATACGTAAAATGATCGGGACTTTATAGGTCTGTCGGGATACTAACTGCAAGTATACAGTTTAGTCGTTCTAGTTTTAAAAGATTATCGAACTCACAGAGACTGATGATCAATCGCATACGATCTAATGCTACAGTTTGTCTAACTAAGCGATGAATATTCGATTTTTGGGGGAAACAGTTTAATTAAAAATAATAGTACTAGTTATACCGATATGTGATAATCGGACTTAGGGAATTCGGTGAATCGCTTAGCCTATAAAGTATTTCGGTAAAAGCTAATTGTTTAAAAACCTGAGACATACACTCTCGTGTTTATGAAATAAGTCATGCTACTAAACCTAGTGGATGCACTTTAAATTTAATAACACTTTTTGAAAACAATTTGAATCTAATTAATTTATTAAAACACTCTCGTGTATTTAAAAATTAATGTTTCATTACCACTATCTGGGTTGAACCCCAGCTCTCGCATGCAGGTTCTTGCCTTAATTAATTTTCCACTCTCGTGGCAAAATCGTGTTAATTAGCCTCTCACTCTCGTGACAAAGTTAGTTAAATTAATCTTGGAAATTGGAAACCAGAAATTGTTTTATAAATGTTTTTGGCCAAGGTATTACTGAATTCTTTTAGTTCTTACGGTCACATACCGGTATTAATAATTTAGCCAGACATAATTAACTTAACAGCAATACAGTTCAAAATATAATTCATAGCAACAATTGGCATAATATAAAAATGAATGAATAATAATTGTAATATAAAACCTGGAATCAAAGTTGCTATGATAATCTTGAAGTATTACAATAATCCAATCTTCGAGCTTGATTTGCAGTAAATAATTCGTGTTAATTCTTGAAAGAAGAATTAACACTTAAAACTAAAAACTAAGACTTTGAATGAAAATTACATGAACGTGAAAGCAATATTCCAAAACAAGGAAAATGGAAAATAACTGCAAAAGAAAATAATATTTGTTCTGAGGAAAATTCTTCGACCCTTGAACTATGCACTGGTACACATATATATAGCATAGGAAAATCAGCAGTTAAGAATTCTTGATGAAGTCTTCAATGGAGAAAATATAGGAGCACTAATAGTGGTGGCAGGAAAATAGGAGACTCAGCAGAAAAAGGGAGAACGAGTCTGCCCTTAATGTCCACGTCTCAATCCATGTATAACGTCCACCTTCACGCGCGTGACGGTCGTCACAGGTGGGTGACGGTCGTAGCACGCTGAAGTAGTGCATTACGCTCGTCACAAGGATGTGACGACCGTCACTATTCCAAAAATCTAAACTTTGTATTTTTTTTATTCTTTTTCTCTTTGTTTATTGTCTAGCCTTCTTCATGTTGTCCTTTTCCATCGGTTTGAGTCGACAAATGTTATACCTGTAAAAAGACAAATAATCTCGGAATAATCGGGGGTTAGACGACTTAATGAAATATAAAAATCGGTAAAAAAGCATGGTAATTATACGATATGTTTTCTCGTTATCAAATTCCCCCATACTTAAACCTTTGCTTGTCCTCAAGCAAATAGTCATTCGAAAGGTCGGACAAGTTTTGTCAAGCGCATAAGCATGACATACCTTGGGTTTTTAAAGTAGTTTCGGGAAATCCTCGTCGATTCGGCCAATACTTGAGTAAAACACTAAAGATACGCTAATGACACAAGCAATAA